TTGACCTGTTTGAGTCGCAGCCACCTCAGGCGTTCAGCGAGAACCACCCTGCCTGTCTCTTCATGACTCAACCAGGGTAGTGAATGGAGGGACAGGGGAAGTTCTTGGACAAACAGAGGATGGAACATTTCTCGCTATTACTACCAATACCTCTTGAAGGGGATCTTTTCTTCTTTTTCAGAGGCATTCCTTGCTTTAGGATCAGCCAAGCAGACCCAGGGGGTGACTCTGAAATTACTAGCACCTCTACCAGGCCGACTGTCTGGCGGCGGCTCTCCGGGGCAATGCCCGGCAGGTCTCCTATATGAGGAAGGTCAGCAGAAGTAACCCTGGTTTCTATCCCTCTGCTGTCCAGCTGTGCCCCTCTGCAGACTGCCATGGGAGGTGTGGGGGGCAGACAGCCCACGGCGCAAGCCCCGGCTTGGCAGTTGCCTGGTAAGTGGCTCCTGGCAGATGGAAGCCCTTCAGTGACCTTGGCCGCAGCATATGCCTCCCTGGGCTTCCCAGCTGATAGAGCTGTCAAGCCTCCGCCTGGCTCCTCTCCCCACCACCTCCCCCTGAGGTCCCAGCTCTGAAGCCTCATAGGATAGGGCCTCTGACCCTACGGATTCTCTCTTTTTCCCCAGATCTCTGCCTTAGTTCTTAGGATCCTTGAGTCAGTGTCTGCTTCTCCCCTGCACTGACCCCAGGTACCTACAGGCGCTAACACACAGAATTCTAGAATGTAGAGGCTCTTAGGTAGACTTTGTCACAGGCCATCATTTTACAGAGAGAAACTGAAACTCAGTGAGCATGTGATTTGTCTGAAGCTCGCCAGCAAGTGGGGGACAGAGTGTGGGCTGGGAGCGCAACTCCTGACTCTAGTGATGATGCTGCTGCTTTACAGCCCCCACCCCATGCCCCCATCTGAATCAGGCAAAAGTTCAATAAAGTAAGAACAAAGGGTGGCTTTTTGAGTAAAGAAATCATGAAAGGAAAGCCGAGGGTAAGCCAGAAGTCCCACCAACTTTAAGGCAGCTCACAAATGACATAGTAAAATATACACTGAAATCGAGGCCTGAGGAAGTAGGGATGTCACAGCCTGACTGCACACACAGACATGGTGGTGATAATGAGGTTCACTTTCCACCCTGAGCTTCCTGGCCACCAAAGCAGAAAGAGAAATTATACTTAATCTTCTTGTTCTTACAGTTAGGGGAGAGCGGCGAGCAGAGTAGTTCTTCAGGGGAAATAAAGATCCCCCAAAAATGAATGCTAAAAGAAACATTATTGCAGGGGGTTTGCCGTAAGGATAGAGGACTACCTGGTCGGGAACCTGCAAGGGGGGGGTCCCAAGACAGAGGAAGGACGGTGCCCTCGGTGCTCACCCAGGTCATCCTACATGAGCTGTGCTTTGCTGGCACGAGACTGAAGGACCCGTGGAACACAAGGACCAAAGGGCTAAAGGAAAGCACAACATCCTCTGACCTGCCTGGGACCACATGCCTTTCCATGGAGTCAGAGGGCTTCCGTCTCCCTGGGAATCCAAAACAGGGAACCACGTAAATTCATGCTGTCTCTTGCATTCTCTCTCTTTCTCACTCTTGCTCTCTCTCCTGGCATTTCCTGACAATCTATTCCAACTGCCACATTTTCTAAGCAGAAAACCGAGGACTTGCCAAAGGCCATAATGTGAGCTGTAGGAGCAGGGGACATGAGACTGAAGGTGGGCCAGCTGATTCCAGTCTCACTGACCACCCTGGGCATGCCACTCCTGTTGGAAGTCAAGTTTCATCTATCTTCTTGAGGCTCCTGGCGGCTTTGCGAGGAGATACAGGCTCACCCAGCCGTTCCTGTTTAGCCCAGGAGCCATGTCGATCCCACATCAGCATCCTTTTCCTCTCCTCTCAGACCCACTTTCTTTCTCCAGGTGCCAGCTCCCTGCCATCCTCAGCAGGTGATTCCTGTCCAGCCAATTTCCAGTGGCATTTCCCCTGTCAAGCTGAATTCTTTTGCCTTTGCTAAGTTCCAGGGCCTTTGACAAGGCCCAACATAGCTCACGCTTGCTGGAGGATGGTGGGTAATTATAAACCCCTCTCCCAAGACTTCCAGCTCTGGAGAAGCTACCCCACCCCTTAAGTTAGCTAAAGTGAGCATTTAAAAATGTTTTAAGGGGGAAGATTCTGGAAACATCTATGTCCCATATTAAAAGCCCTTTGTCTCAGAATGAGTTTTTCCCCTTTGCCAAGAGGCCAACTTAACAGAAAGAAACCATGGCTTTGGGCTCAAATATGCCTGGATTTGAATTCCAAACCCCATCACTCTACCTTTATGCCAGTGGCAATGCCGCTTTACTTCTCTAAGCCTCAATCTTCTTATCTGTAAAATGGGGCTAATCACAGTTGGTGTGCCGGAGTACAGTCACAGTTAGCAATAACACACGCTAAATGCCTAGCAAGGACCTGGCATAGGGAAAGCACTCCATAAACAGCACTGATTTATTTACCTATCTAGTCTTATTCTTAATGTTATTCATACATGTTACATCTTTATCCTACCCCAAAATCTTAATCTGAGACATTACAGTGGTTTGTATATCAGTGATGGGTCCCTCTCTTTCTTCCCATGCTTAATTTTCTTCACAGTCCTTGGCAACAGCTAATATAATTACATATTTATTGATTTTGTTTATTGTCTCTATGAGCTCCAGGAAGGTAAGGATATTTGCCCGTTTTGTTCTTAGTGTAGTCCCCAGTGCCTA